CATGGTGCTAAATGCATTCCATCAAATCATGAATGTATATGATCAGTGATGTACTAAAGCAGTTTTTAAAGATCTTCACTATGAAAAATCAGGTTTTTGTGATGAAAAAATGTCACAAGTGCAAATGTAGGAGTGTGTTTTGCAGAATATTTATGATTTGGTGGATAAGACCTTAACTTTACTCTTGCAGACTCCATGTTGTATATGTTTATGATTCTGCATAAATTATATTGATGCCTTTGATTTAATCAAAATTAGTTGCTTTGGCCAATTCTGCTAAATAGCTTCTAAAAATAAAACCTCAAAAATGATCAAGTTTGAACAACTTTCTCTTTTGATTTTAATTCTTATTGTCATAAAATCTGTTGTTTGTATTCACGTTTTTTCTTTCAGTCCGACGTTTCTCCATAAAGTTCACACCGATACAGTTTCTGCTCATTCTTTGGTTAATTTTGATGTTTGCATTGTTTGAACATGTTTAATAAAATGTTACATCAGTGTTCAATAATTGTATAAAACATTTACAACTGTATATATCACCTCTTTTGGTGGATATTAGACATCATAACAGCTTTATGGATGCTTGATTTTAATTGCTTAAAAAAAAAAATCTCATGGAGACGTGTTTTACTTTAACTGCTGCTCTGATTAAAACTGAGTATATTGTTGTCATTAGTGTTAAAAATTGTCACATTTAAAACTATTACAACTAATTCAGTTTATGCAGGTTACAAAATAAATGCTTTTTAATGGATTAGTTGATTTTCTTCTGTGCTGATTTAATTTTCCAGTGTGTCATAAATATTATTTCCTTTTGGCTGCAAAGGTAATACTTTACTTTTTGCAACTTGTTTTTAGAAGGTAAGGAAGCCAATAATTATTTTGAATTGTGTAAATGTTCTTCTTTTATTTTTTGCTGCTCACTGCAGCACAAGTCAGAGTATAGCTTATTGGAGCCGTAGCAACAGTAACTAAGAGTAAAAATGAAATAATATGGTAAAAAAAAAAAAAACTTGACCAAGAACTCCAATGCACCTATCAGAAGAACTCTGACGTTATAGGAAATAAGTTAGCATAAGTGAAAATGTCTTTATGATTCAGGATGTTTATCAACTATGATGAATAAGTTAAACTCCCCAAATCTACAATATGGAAATAGACCAGAGGACCATATAAAGACTATATTTCTGTACTGGGCAACAGCTGATAAATGCAGCCAATATTGTTGCATTTATTAGACATTTCCACAGGGAGTCAGTGCTGATGTGAGCAGACAGACAACATAAAAGATAATTCACTAGCTGGGACAATGACACAACACACTTTCAGTCTAAAAGTGTCCTGTTTGCTATTTACACCTGAGTTACCCCCAAGTGCACCACCTTTAATTCCTTATATAAAATATTTCTTGTGTGCAGGTGGAATAACAGCTTAACACTAGAAGTAATTCTCTTCATGCCTGGCACATGCCCTCCCCTCCATGTTTTCTGGCAGTAAACCCACATGGGCTGATTTATAGGTTAGCAATAACAAAACCCTGCTAAGCTGGCTTATTGTTGTGTGGCTGATAGCACAAGATGCTTTATGGGTGCAACCATATATTATCCTGAAGGCACAGACTTGTCTTCTGAAGGCACAATGTGGGGGAGGGGAGGACAATAAAGAGAAGGGAAAAGGAGTGGGAGGTTTACTGAATGAAGGGATGAGGAGAAATTAATGAGGTCATCTGCCATCAAGGTAAAACAACCCTGAAGATAAAACTGGAACCATGAAATGACTAAAGTAAATGTTTACAGGACAAACATATAGAAGACGACCTTTGGCAGAACAGGAGTATCTATTTGTTCTTCCACTAAATCATAAATAAACCCAGAAAAGGAAGTTCCACATTTTGCTTTAATATAAAACAAATGTAAAACTCTGCTTAAAAAAATGTTCAAAGTGTAGAAAAGTCTTCGGGCAAACTGTTTAAGATGCTTTATTCTTGTTAAGTCCTACCTGGGAAGAAGAAATATCACATTTACAACGGACATAAGACACTCAACCTCACTCCTGCCCTCTTACTGTGTGTGTGTGTGTGTGTGTGTGTGTGTGTGTGTGGGTTTAAATGGTTGGATGCACACAAATTACCACAGCTTGAAGGGTCTTCAGTATTCAACTAGATACAAACAGTAAACCAAGCTCAGACCAGCACTCGGCAAACTTAAAAAAAAAGTTAATGAAATGTTTCATTTATATTAAATATTTATATTATATTATATATTTATTATACTTTCCTTGACTCCAGTTTGATTGCAGGTAGTTGTTAATGATTCGTCTTTTGTGTGAAGATTGGTCACGCATTGAGCTGTACATTAAAAAGCAAAATTTCACTGTGAGCTCATTTCTCCCTGTAGTTCTTTAAAAAAAAAAAAAAATAGATTGAAAATATAGAAACAGAAGGTTTGAATGATGCGTTCATTTTAAGTATTAAGTGTATTTGCATTTTTTAAGTAGTAAAGTGACAAAATAGTTTTAAACAGTATAGCAAAAATACTGCTACAGTGTTGCTCCGTTTCTTTTAGAAAAAAGATACATTTCTAAAAGCAACTGCAACATCTGGACTTTCCACATCTGAAGGACACCAACATGTAGCGTAACTCATACTGGCGCCTGTGCTTCACCTGCATCCTGGATCTCCTGGCTCCTTCTCTAGAATCTCCTCGTGCCCTCTACAAGCTGTTCTTCTCCTTCCACCACTCACCTCCTTGTACCAACCCTCCTGGAACCATTTGGACCACTCACCCCTGCATCAAACTCCTAAACTCCTAAACTAAGGATCTCAACTGGACATTATACTCTCCCTGAGATTCACTGAGAACTCCATAACTCTGCTGCTTACTCCCCACGGTTCCAGTCCCTCCCTGATGAGTCTTTGCATCGTTTCATGCTTTCACCATTTGTAAACTCTTAACTTTTACTGGTTTTTGGAGTCTGTTCTTTTGGTCATTTATGATCTGTGTATTTGCTAAAAACCTTACAAAGGTAAATTTGAAAGGAGAGAGGAGTTGACAGGATTTTGATACTTTAAACCGGAGCAGAAAATTGTTTTTCTCCTGCAAATATACGGTAGTTCAAACCAAAAGTGACAAAAAAAAGACTTTTGTTTTTGAGTTAGTAATAAATTTTAACTCTTAAATATTAGCTACAAGGCACAATAGGGTGATTTATTTCAAGACGACCATCCCTAAGTAATTATTAGGTGACAATTATGTCAACAAAAATTTATTAGAAATATACAAATCACACACAATAGGGACATTTTAAAAAAACTGCTGTACTCGGGAAAACTAGGGAATCACTTGTGGCATTATCCTCATGTTTCCAGGTGCAGGATTGAGAAAGCCATTCCCTTTTATCATCTCCTCCACATTTTTACCTCATTATTAGAAAAAGAACAACTTGGTTGTGCAACCCCAGAAACTAAAACGCAGAATAGCTTAAAAAAAAAATTACATTCTGGAAATACGTCAACTGCAAAAAAAGTGCTGCCATAATTAGGGACATTAAAGGTTCGGAGAAGTGGCGATGCTATTAAAAATGGAGATTAAGGCTGAATTTGTTTGCACAGCTTGACGTTAGTATTTTCTTATTTACCATTTTAATTATAAGTCCCTTGCTACAAAAACCTAACAGCACTGATTGATTTTTCTGTCTAAGCTGCAATTAAAAGAACAAAACTTGCTCACCTGAAAAAAAGAACAGAATGTGTTGCACAATTACTAACATGTCACCGAAAATTTAGCTTCATTTAGCAAATTTTTAGCCTCTTTCCAGCTCCTCAGTCTCTGTGATTTTGAAATAGCCTTGGCATGCACAAGCTAGAAAAAAATTCTCGAATTTCATTGAAAGACAGTTCAAGTTAGACATAAAAAGTCCCTGAATAAAAACAAAAACATGATCATAGTGGCATTTAGACGCTCATAAACATACCACTTCCCCTCTTGCCTCTTCAATTTGAAGCATAACGGTGGGTTTATGGGTCTGACTGTGCCGATAGTCTCACTGGAAATCAATACCACCCACAGATGATTATATGTACTGTTCAGCAGAAAACACAAGAATGAACCAATAGTGCATGCACCGTAGGTGGAGAAAAACTAAATCCACAAACAAGCTGCAGAAAAAAGGCACTTTCTGTTTTTGTGACCTTGCACAGATACTTGTTCGTTACCGCGAACAACCATTAAAAAAAGTAATCTGGACTGTGTAGACAATTATACAACTTTGTTCATTTTTTATCTAGTTTTGCATCCTCCCTACCAATTAAAATAAAAACGTTTTTTTAAAGCAAGCTCTCATTGCATGACACGTTCAAATAATTTATTTTCTTTTAAAAATGGTCTCCAACAAAAAATGAGCCACAAACAACAACCAGTTATGAGTTCTTTCTCTTTGTATGATGCCTCCATTACCCACAATCCAACTCACACATTGCCAGTTTAGCTGGAAATATCTATATGTTATTCTCGTGGATGCAATATAAGAACTAAACACAAAAAATGAGTCAAATGAGTCTTGCCTGGTGCTTGACCCAATAACAGTTTATTTGAAAATTTTTTGTTTGTTTGTTTCAGTCAACAGTGGAGAAAGAAAATTGGTGTAAAAGATTGCAGCATAACATAAAACCAGTTGCCTTGTGGAATGTGAAGATGCTAATTGAAATAGAAAATAAATAAATAAATAAATAAATAAATAAATAAATAAATAAAATTTAAAAAAGACTCCGTAGCTTTCAGATTTAATTGTGCTGAACTGGTTCTTTAATTTCTTTTGGGCCTAAGTTAGTATTGAATTTATCCTTTCATAATTCATTCTATAATTTAAAGTATCAATACAGATAATATTCTCTTAAAACCCTGAGTGAATAATTAAAACAATATGTATTTCTTAATGTTGTGGGGCCAGAATAATTGTACTTAATGGCATCCATTTGTTACACGTAGAAAAGTTTCACTCACTTCCTGAATGTTGGTATGGATCCCTGTAAAGATCGTCCAGGGGAAGTCCCAGACCCGTGGCTCTGTCCCGAAAGCAAACTGTCGGTTTCAAAGGTGAACATCCCGTCACGGTCATCGGTAACATCCAGGAACTCTCTGTCGCTCCACGCTCCCACTGCGCCATCCATCGGCTGGTATCTGATCTCTATGGTGACACTGGTCTAAAATCACCAACAAGTTGATGAGAAGGAGCCTAAAAGGTTAGGCGTCATTCAGCTTCAAGGCATTACTACAAATATAAGATCATTTTTTTAATAACAAAAAGTGTTGTTCTCCTGAATTCATTTTATGTCAACATAAAATGCCTGATGAAAGTTGTAGCTTATGTTCTTTTAGGCATCAAGATGAAATACTGCGAGTGTAGAGGAGCTTGAGGTTTAAAATGTAAGCCAGAAACATTTCTGCACAGCAAATCTCATCTCAACATCTCACATCTCATTAAACGAAAAACATTTACACTTTCCTTCATTTACAAAACTATTCTTGAGCCTTTACTCTCCTATCCAACATTTTTCAGTCAGGTCATCTGGACAGTTTCTTTTTTGTGCTGAAACGTTTCGCCTTCGATCCGGAAGGCTTCATCAGTCAAGGAAACACACAACAAAACTGACCTGACTGAAAAATGTTGGATTGTATACCTGGATTATTGAGCATAGACTTTGTTGTTTTCAACCAGTTTAAGACTGTCAACAAGGAAGAGGGCCGGCAATGGAGGAGGGGCGTACCAAAGAGATCATCTTATCACAAGCAGAACTGGTTTGTTCCACTTTGGAGTAAGCTGTTGGGGGAAGAATCAGTTTTATTGTGTGTTTCCTTGACTGATGAAGTCTTCCGGATCGAAGGCGAAACGTTTCAGCACAAAAAAAAGAAACTGTCCAGATGACCTGATTGAAAAATGTTGGATTGTATACCTGGATTATTGAGCATGGACTTTGTTGTTCTTTACTCTCCTACTTACAGTCACAAAAAAGTTATGGGAATATTTTTTTTTGTGCCCCATGATTTGCATTTTTCAAACACTCATGTGGGTGAAGGGAAAAAAAAAATTAAAATATGTTCCAGCAATTTTCAGTCAGGGCATCTGGACAGTTTCTTGTTTTGTGCTGAAACATTTCACCTTTCATCCAGAAGGCTTAATCAGTCAAGGAAACACACAACACAAAACTGAATCTTCCCCCAACAGCTTACTCCACAAACCAGTTATGTTGGTGCTAAGATGGTTTCTTTGCCCCCCC